GAGGCCACCTGGAAATACCTTTCAGTGCCAAAATGTGCACATGCACCTCTCTGTTCAAAGTAACTCCCAGAAAGCTTATTATTTGCAGCCACTTTTAAGGTAACAACATAATGTTAAAAAATATGCTTCAAGCTGGCATCGTATCAAATCCTGAATCCTTTACTTAGATAAAAAGTCTGTCTTTCATTGTTTTTGATTAAGAAGTCTTGAGCTGTATTTGGTATTAAAGCTAATGAAAAAAAGTCTCACTGACTTCAGTGGGAACTACCAAGCGAGTATCAAAATTTCCTATTCACAATAGTGCCCAAATCTGTGATATGTAATTAAGAAATGATATATAAAGGACTTATCTGTGTGATAAAGTGCCTGTACCTGATTATGCTACCGCTTTGCACCAACAGTCAATTCCAAGCACAAACGCTGCTTCAGTAGCTAGATATCTGAATTGCTTCACTTACAACATGTTAGCTACCACTTAAATCAACAAAATTCATCTGCTAAATGGTAGAACAAAAGTATAACTACAAAAAACTGGAAGCTCAGTTTAAAAAATCCAACTTCAGATGATTAAGTGGTTAATGTAATGAAGCTAAGATTATTGATACCAGTGGAGAATTATAAAGGCTGTACCACCAAAACTAGCTTTCACTGTTTTTCTCCGCTTCTGAAGACAGATGTGATTTTGAAGAAGTAATTTCTTTGTTTTTAAGATACTTTTCAAGATGCCAGGCATCTGATAGTCTTTGCCTGAAAATTTAAATAAGTAAGTTGTAACTGTAGTACTGTTTAGGAAGGGTGGAGAATGAGATCTTTGCCATAGATTAATATACAAAATTTGCTTTTTCTGCCATTGGTGAAAACTAGGAGGTCTGTCTTGTGTTTGGCCGAGAGAAATGAAGTCTCTTTCACATGCACGAGGAGATTCCAAAGCATTCAACAGCCTGCTGCTAAGGATGTACACTGAGTGCACGGGTCTCCTGGGCATAGTCTCCTGACAGGCTAAAATGAATAAAGATTGGAGTAGTTACCACCAGATGCTCCGGAAGGGTGGGGTGGGCTGCAGAACCAGGGAGGTGCAGATGTTCCCACTGAAAGAGCAGGTGATTTCAGCATCTGAGCAATGTTGTGGAGGCTTTCGTAAGGGAGCCTGTTATCACTCTGAACTACTTACAGAAAAATAGCCTATGGGTTTTTTTCTCTTCAGCATGCATAAATGTTGAGCCTGCAGCTACCATTCTGGGTTGTAATTCATATTATGCCTGAAAGGTCCTTACATTTCTTGCTCCTATGCAGGGGTCTTATAGTGAAAGAACAACCAAATCCAATACCTTTTTATTCAACCGTATGTCATTATTTGTTTTTAGCAGGAAAAAGGTAACTCAGGTACCTCTGCCCAGGAAGAGTAAAGGTACAGTATTACTGAATAAGAAATACCAGGATAGTATGATGACTGGCATCTTCAGTGCAGCCATAAAGAAAAACATGAGACGAAATGACAGAAATGTGATTCTTGTGTCCTGAAGCCTTAAGAGAAGTGGACTCATGTGGAAAACTGTCTGTGAACTGGACAAGAGTGGCTTGGAATATCCTGAAAACAACATGGACCTTCACTGAAAAAGCATGAGCTGCCGGTGAGCACAGAAATGACAAAACAGGCCAGGTCTGGCCTTTATCAGTATTCATCAGTGAGATGTGGCATGACAGAACCAGGCATTCTTACTCCATTAGCGTCTGTTTGAGAGCTGCCTGGTTCACTCAGATTTCATTCTAATTTTTGTGACATTTTCAGTATAAAACACTATTTTCACACCTGAAAAGAATTATGTCCAGTACATCTGGAGACAGAAATAAAACAAATTCTATGCTGCAGCCTACAATAGTGGAATAAAAAACCAACAAACGAAACAAAGAAAGAAGGAAAGACCATCAAGACATCTCCTTCAGCAGCAAGGACTGAGACAGAAATCTGAACATCAGTGATTCTTCCATAACAAGCAGAGCAACTGCAGGAGCAACTGTGAGGTGGTCAATTGCCCAAGTGACAATTTTAGCAGGGCACTGCTTTGTATATGGATGATGATCACACAAGAATCAGTGTCAGTGATGATGATGGAGCCGCTGCCTGACTGCATGTCATTGAGAAAACAAGTCCAGAGAGGGCCTCCTTCTCAACAAGGGACATTTAATGCTTCAGATAGGATAGCATAACACGTGGAAATTACACATGCATCATGAGAAATTACCTGCACAACAGAGTAGGCTCTGAGTCTGGACTTGAGACTGTGAGTGCAGCATAGCTGGGGGGAAGAGTAGGAGGTGGCTAACAGCCATGAGATGATTATTGCAATCAAGGCTATTGCCTAGATACCCACCAGTGATTCATTCTTATTTTTCCAAGTCACCATTTTATTGTGTTTCTCCACCCCATCACCCCATAAATTCTGTCTGGATTTATTGACTGCCAATACAATTTATTTTCCCACTTTTCTGGTTACGGGTTTGGCCCAGTGTTCCTTAAGTGTTCAGTAACAGGCTTCAGAAACTGAATGTAGCCATTTTCTGCTAGAAGGCATGTGGCACAAGGGTTGAATTACCACCTGTCTTGGAAAATATTTTGAAATTGCAAAGTTAAAAATCATTACTGCAGTCAAACATTTCTGAAGTCTCCAATTGGACTTTGGTTGTCAGAGCTTTGACTGTCTTCCCTCCAAAAGGAAACAGAAACATGGCAAGAAAAAGCTCTTTTCTCCAAAAGAAGTGATCTTAAACGTAAAACACTGGAAGAAATTATTTATTTAGTTACCTGCTGTGCTCCACTAAAAAGTCTTTGATAAACTGGTATCATTGTTTATTCTATTATTGCTGATGAAAGCTATTTGATTATAGCTGTAAAAAATCTCTATAAAATCTTAAATAAAAAACACATGTTGTGGCAGAGGCCTTTAGAAATAAAAAACATTTTAAACATACTTTGAAGACAGCCTAATTCCACTGTTTTCTTTTAAGCTGAAAGGGGAAGTGCTGCATTATTGCTCAACTGGAGAGTCATAGATACATTAGTTACCAGTAATTAGATTTCTTGTAATTCCATATTTCTATCTATACATAGAGCACAGTGATCATGCCCACTAGGAAAAAAAAAATGCAATTATCCCTGGTTTTTCATTAACATTGCAGTCAAGGACAGTATTGTTCACACATATTTTGGTGATTCAGATTATTCTGGTTTGTATTATATAAAGCATCTAGGAGAGGTTACACAGTGCAAGGAGGTGTCACAAGAAGGAAAGTGGCTTTTGACAGCTGAAAAATATCTTTTGAGAGCCAATAAAGTGGTCAGATTCAAAAGTCAATATGCAAAGCAAGATTGTTTGCTTCTCCTTGGAAGGAATCACAAATGCATCTATTTAGTTAAAACCACAGAGTCCCTAATAACCAGCATGGTGCATTTGGTTGAACAACTGAAAAACCTGCTTTTCTTCACGTTATGGCTGTTTGAATGAGCATCTGAACCAAACTCAATCCGCAGGAAACATTCCCAGCAAGGCCTAAGGAAAATTCACTCTCTTATTCTGGGTCAACCATGCCCATAAATGAAGCCTAGTGAATACATTCATGTTAAAATGCGCTTAATCATCTAGTTAATGATCCAGATTATGTATGATCCAGGACAAAAAAAAAGACACTATCTCCCATATATTCAAAAGGAATGTGACTCCTATAGACCCAGTAGTGAGCATTCCATTAGCATATACATTACTGTTAGTACACAGTACTATTAGTCTCTTGTAACCTGCCTGAAATTACATATCAGTGTTCTCTCCATGTGCTCATAACAGTAGGGCTACTGTTTGAAGATCCTTAATGATTACAACTTGTGGGTATGTAATTTACACCCAACAAAACACTAACTACTGATAGGAAAGCCTCATTAAAAATTAGATACTCACTATATTTATAATTTATTGTATGACCTGTACAATAATGTGAATTGAGAATGGCAATGACTGCAAATAATACCTGAGAACCAAACATCTCATTTTTGCAGTAGCATGAACTAACTCTCTGTTATTTGTTTTGAAACACAAAATTAAAATCTTCTAAAGTATTAAGAGGAAGGAAAGCAGAGTGCCGGTTTCCATTCCATAGATTTGAATGGCTTACAATATGATAAAATGTCCTTTTTCTTTAATAGTATACAGCATTTATTTGCTGGAGGCTACTTTTTAATTTACATTTGCATGTATTTCAGAGCTGGCATTAAAACACAGGTTTTATACCATGAATATTATCCTATCCAAAACAACTGTACATATGTATTCTTAATCACACAGGAATTTCCAAGGACCTCAGTGTATAAAAGGCATTATTACATCATGTGTTTGAAATGCAGATGTATCTGGGATGGACTGCTGCGCTCTAGCTGGTTCAGTAGTTCACAGCAGTATTAATTCTTCATACGGATTAATGGATCCAATTCTCAGTAACAGTATAACATATATAACAGCATAACCCTTTATGCTGCTCTGCCAATATAAAGTCATCCTGAAGGGGATAAAAATACGTAGAAGGAATAACTTCTGCACACACCTCTTCCCTCAGAGCACAGAGTTGAGGAAATAAGAGACATTAAAATATCCCAGAATACTCTCAACTCAGACCAGTAACCAGGCAAGCGCCTGTTGGCACCATCGGAATAGGAGCAAAGTAAAATAAAGCTCTGCTATCACTCCAAGTGAAAAAGAACTGTGAACTGGCCCACAGGAGTTCACCAGTAAGGGTGAGGACGTAAGGGTGCAAGGTGCAGTTGCCCAAATGGAGACTGAGCGGGACTACCACGACTGCCAGTTTTGCTCTTGCAAGAAGTACTCACAAGTGTGATTCTTGAATGACGTACACCAAGACCGACCATTTGCTCCAAGTTTCCACAAAGCATTAACCCGAATATATCATCAAACTGAATAAGTTAGAGCTGGAAAAGGTAACATTTTTTCACTCACTTCTAGTAGAAGTCCACCTTCTTGTACAGCAGTCTTGTTAGACACATTGTCCTCTTTTATCGTTGGGCCAACTTGCTTCTTAAAGTGCTTTTCTTGAATGGCTGTTGGAAAGAGTTATTATCAATTTAGCAATCATAACGACTAGGGCTGCTAGACTAAAATTCTTATTTAGGCATTTAACATGCATTGATTTAATTGGGAGTTACTGTCTTTGTGGTCTGGATCTCAGTTACTGACAACTTTCTTTTGCTGTGAGGGAGATAGATACATATTTGGCAGTCCAGATGTTTTTTATATGAAATATCTATCACATTTTTTATTGAACACATTTTTTCCATTAGTGTACTCTACATAAAGCAACATCCAAAACCCACAGGAAAGAAAGAAAAGAAAGTTAGCAAGTTGTTTTGTTTATAAAAATATGTATTATGACAATATAAAGAAATGCCTGTGTAGCTCAGAAGACAAGCAACTGAAATAAGTTTCTTATTTTCAGTGCTGACCTTGGCAGCAGATTGTTTTCAGTCTCACTTTACCCACTTCACTTCTACAAGTCTGAGCCTGATTGTAAGATTCAAGGGAATGTTCTTAAACTGTTTCAGTTTTAAACAGAAGTTTAAAGATTTTTTTAGCAGGTTTTACTACATGAAATCCATGAAACTCTCTCACTATAGACTGAAACTGCATATATTTTTCCTAATAATAGTGAAAACCTTCCCAGGAGTCAAAACTGGTGAGTGCTCTTCCCGCACACAGGTTATCATCACTTGATCTGAAATATCTTTGAATACTCAGATTAAAGTTTTCTTATCGATATATCCCATAGAAAAAAAACCCCTGTAATACAATCCCATCTCTGGGGATAATGAAAGAATTTCTAAGGCGGCTTACATCAGTTGATACATTTGGCTTCTGTATCCTTGAGGGAGTATGACAGGAACCTGTCTTTATCATTTGGTCAGTAAAATTTAAGGAGCCAGCTTCACCCGGAGATGGGTCATACAAATATCCCGGTAGCAAACAGAGATTCTGTTTTCTATTTATTCTCCTTTCCACGGAGAGAAGGAGAGAGGAGAACATACCAGCAAGATTAGCTGGGACATTTGATACACATTGTCCCTTCCAGCTAAAGGAGAGCTGGAGCAGCCATGGCCAGAGATGGTCAATAATCCAAAAAAAGAAGGGCTGAGACGGACAGGAATAGTTTATACCAAATCAGAATAAAGAGACAGCCAGCAAGCCTCTAATGATTCTGAGCTTGTTCATAAAAGCCATGAGCATGGGATTTAATTTTTTAGTAAGATTCCAAATTAAGAGAAAGGTTGACATTTTTAAATGGCTTGAATAATATTTGTTGCAAATGACCAAGGATAGGATCTAAATGGACTCACTTCCTTTCCAAAGGTCTGTGCAAGAGTCCCTTATCAATTTAACAGCCTAGTCAGGGACTGTTGCAAGATACATCAGCATTTTACAACAGATGACGGCAACGCAGAACCACACTGACTAAATATCCGTGATGTTTTTTAGCTTACATGGTAAATATTTGCCGCCAGTGGTAATGTTGGTCATTACCCCAAAGCAATCATCTCAAATGTATAATTAGATGTAATAAATCCCTCCCCTGGGCATGGGAAAACACATCAGGAAAATCCCAAGCTGCCTAAACCAGATCCCTATCCACATTTTCCAGCAAAAACAGTTTTGTAATTTCAGACTTGTAAGCTAGGCTGCTATGAACACAGGATACACAGATTCCTCAATCTGCATTTTCATTTTCATATACCTTTTGAACTAATTGGAAGGGGTCACGTTTTTTCCCCCTTGACCAGCGAAAACTTTTGCCACACCTGCCCATAAGAACAGACATATGGACACTCGTGACAATAATTTTTAAAAGACCAATCCCTATTCCAATAGTCTTTTCCAGAGTTTCCCCCCTCAGAAAAGATGTTTTTGCAATTATTGACGCAGTGGTTTGCAGTCTTTCTACAGGTTAAAGGACAGACAGGGAGGGGTGAGAGGAAACGAAGGTTTATTTTTTTGATGCGTTCTTCTGGTGTTGTGAAAATTCCGCCAGTTTGAACTTCATCATTAGTGGAAACTATTATTTTACCCGACTGAGCGGGCCAGAGCTCCCTGCCTGTTTGTTAGCCTTCAGGCTCACACAAACACAGCAGCAGAAGCACAAGAGATGTTTGTTCCGCGGCTCGTCTGGCTACTATAAATTCCATCTCCAAATGGAAAGTATTTTAATGTTATTTTGCCAGCTAGAGTTACCCGTATGTTAGGCCACACACATCCGTTTCATAACATACCCTAGTCACTGGCCTGGACTGCAAGGAGACCCATTGCACCATCAAAGACCAATGACACCCTTCCGTGCCAAGAAGCAAGAGCTCCTCAGAGACAGGGACGTTTGTTCCTTGCACCTGAGGCAGCAGAGCTGCTGCTCACTGTTCACTCTTGTTCTGCCTTCCTGGAAATACTCCATTAATCCACCCAGGGCTTGGCTGATACAGCAGGGACGGCTCTGAGGAGACACCACTGCTGCTGATAGCCTGTCACCTGGGGAAAGCAGAGCAAGACAGGGAGAAAACCACATAGATCCCCAACATGAATGAGGAGGAGGAGGAGGAAGAAAAGCAAGAGTTGGCAGGGTGAGGAGGGAAACTAGCAAGATGTTATCTGAGTAGACAGAGAAATAGGGGAAAGAAAACAGAGCAGCCTAACAACGCCTCTGTCACCAGCAAGAATCAAGAGAGGGAACTGAAGGAAAGTAAGCATCGGTTATGATGGGTGGTTTGATAGCAAGGCACCTGATGCCAAGGCAGCTGTGATCAAGCTTAGACATTACATTAAATGGTAGCCTTCTGGAGCAAAGGTGAAGCCCATGATGATGAAAACAAACAAAAGATGGGAGAATGCAGGAGTACTCTGTCTAGTGGGCAGGGAGGAGCAAAGTGTGGAAAGATAAAGAACAACAAACAGCAAAGCATGAGTCAGTCACCTGAGGGGAAAGCTTCTGGCTGGTGGAGTTCCCATATATCAAGAATGGGGCAAGGAAAGAACGGATATTGCAGGCAGACTGATGAATGCTGCTGGCTGTAAAAAACATGAAAGCTTCAGCTTTGTGGAGACTTGGACTGTTTTCTATGGGAGAGGCAGCTCTTTGGACTAGATTGCCAGCAATTCAGCGAAGAGCCCTCACCTACTAGGTTCAAAAATGGAAAGCTGAAGAGTTAGGAAACAGGAACAGCAGAGACCTTTTTCTGAGCACAACTTATCTAGCCTGCACTTCCAGAAAACGAAATAAAACAGAAGATGGAGCTGTTCTGCCAAAGAAGATGAATGAGCGTATTGATACCATAGGGTGATAAATACAAGATATACAAGTATCAGGGCTGACAGTTTTGCATGGTCATGCGATCTAGTGACTATGGTGCAATCCCAGGCAACATTAAAAGCCTCCCAGTTTTGGAAACACTGGGTTCTACAGAAGGGCAGCACTATGGAAATATACAGGGCAGGGGGGTAAAGGAGGCTAGGAGGAAGAACAGGGAACAAAAATGAAGAAACATGGCCAATGAGATTTCCTGAAGGAAAGGTCAAAGATCTGAGGACATTGCTCCACTTTTTGATCTGAAAGCAGGGAAAGGAGTTGAAACCAAAAAATAATGTAGAGGAGTTAATATCGACAGCTAATTAATGCAAGGGAAAAAAGTCTACAAAAGGGATGATATGTTTGGCTGACTGGAGTACGGGACTGTCTCAGACGGTGCTGCTGAACTCACAGCTGCACTGTCTCTCCCCAGAACATTGTAAAATGCTGAGATCTCTTTTGAGCTTCCGGTTCTGATATGAGCATCGCTATCTGCATTTGCAAACCCCTTGGCTTGAAAATCAAATCTGGAATGTTGTAAAGAAGAGAAAAGCTGCCTGACGCTTTAAAGTCTATAGGAGTATCATGAAACCAGCCGTTCTCTTTTCCTCAGAAAAAGACAGAACATTTATTCGTTGCAGAGTACTTTTTAGTTCAGAGGGATGGAAATTTCAGGACTGTCATAAAACTGTACTTTTTAAACCCATGGGATTACACTCTCCAACATGTTTCTGTACTTATTCCCACACAAGCACAACCTTCTTTCTTCAGAAAATAATTAGCAAAATTACCGACCAAGCTCAGCTCTGTAGCAAACTAACACACCGTCAAACTGTATGTACCCCAGCGACCTTCCACTGCTCAGGCTGCCTGAGTCAGGCAACAGCACAGGGAAGAAATGAAAGTGAAGGGATGCTGTTTCTTATCTGAACACTTTGCTCAGATTTCATTTGAGGTGTAAGAAGGGGACAGTACTGTCTTTTTCAGACACGGTATGCTGCGGGCATATCAGTTTCAAGTCCCTCTACAAGGAGTACCTGGGAGACCACGTCTCTCCAGCGATACCCAGGGGATAAATGGTTTCTTAAAATGGGCAGATGAAAATACCCAAATCTAGCTTGCAGGTTCAGAGATACAGCTTTATGAACGTAAATCTTGCTTTTGGTAACTGTTAGTTGAAAGGAAGTGAAAACAGGGTCTTTCTTCCTGGATCTTCTAGCTGCAGGAAGGATCAGCTATGCGTGTTACCCTGAATGCTAAGAAAACAAAACAAAACAACTAGGAAACACTCAGTATGAGCAATTCTGCTTAACAAACCTACAGTCATGAACTGAAATGGTCTGTTTCCTCTTGCTGTCTCACAGAGAACACCGAGTGACAATAAGGACCGGGCTCATTAGACGCATGCTGAACTTACACATTACACAACATAAAGAACAGTTATTATACATCGCTGAACGATATAAAGAGGATGTTTGCACTCTGAAATACCACAATATACAGGTTGTACAAACACTTCAGGAAAGAAATCAGCACCAAAATGCACCCTCTGAATAAAAGATGCATGGTGCTCAGTCCTGCTGCACAGGCTACCAGAATGCCAGATGAAATTATGCTTGCAATAATGCAAAGTTTTTCTTCTCAACTTAGCGGTTTTCTCAGTCTGCTTCTTCTTAAGAGATGCTTTGAAATCCTACTGCCCTTTGAAGTCTCTGGAGT